TGGGCATGTGGCTCTGTGATAGTGAGCTTGCCTAGCATGTTCCAAGCCCAGGGACTGATTCCCAGGAAGGGGAAGGGGTAGAGACTCTACAAATTAAATTGGATTTTTCCTACTGTTGTATTCAAAGAAGAGAATAAAAGAAGAGAAAGAGGAAGAAAGGGAAATGGGAAGAACAGGGAAGAGGAAGAAAAAGGGAGGAAGGATGGAAGGTGGGCAGAAAAGGGAAGGAAAGAAGAGGGAGAAAGAAAAGGGGTTCCCACATTGCAGATACTTATTAAATATTTACTGAATGAATGAAAATTGAAACAGATCATTCAACTTCATATTGCCAAAACTTTTTCCAAAGGGGTTAAAAAAATTTGTACTTCTACTAATTTCTGTTTCATTCTTTGTTCTTCGTGTTGTCAGACCTTATAATCCTCAGTGTAATGGCTATAAAACAAGTACTTTATTCTATTTCACCCAAAATCTTACTACGTTTTTCCTTAGTAGCCTACTGAGTTTATTTTTACCTTAAATAAACTGGTTTTCATTACTTGTAGTAACTAGAACTTACTGCCTAGTAGAAGATTAGTGGTTTTCTTTTTAATGTTAATTTTCTACCATGGAACTTTGATTAGCACTCTAGGTTAGAAGAGTCTATAAAGTTCCCTGTACAATTACAACACAAACAATTGTACTGATATGGATACATCTTTCTTTGTGATTGTTAAAGAATTTTGTTGAATATTTAATTACTTTCTTATTTTTGTTTCTTTTTGTTTTAGTTCACTGGCCAGACATATATTCCAGTGTAGCGAGTAATGAACAGTAGTGACAAAGCTTGTTCCTGTGAATACATCTATAGTTCGTAATCAAAAATGACATGATGTAAAACAGGGCACAATGCACGCCTGTAATCCCAGTTACTTGGGAGGCTAAAGCAGAATTCTAAGTTCAGGACCAGTCTGGGCAACTTAGTGAGACCATGTCTGAAAATAAAATTTTAAAAAAGAGGTGAAGCTCTAGCAGAGTGCATGCCTAACATGCCCAGGGCTCTGGATGGAATTGCCAGGGCATCCAGAAGGGGAGGATGGCATGAGGTAGCCCATAAATCGTACATTTTGGAGAGATAATGTTCATTAGGCTAAGTAAATTCTCTCGTGTTCCAAATTCATCAAAAAATTTTTTTCTATTATGAACAACAAATTAATTTTAAAATACTCTACATTAATTCAGGCAGGTATATAGGTTTTTCTCCTCTAATATCAAACTATCCTTGCATTCCTAAAATAAAACACCGAAGTCTTTAAATTATGCTGAACCTCAAATACTGGGATTCAGTGGACCTTCTTTAACCTGTCCTTTTCTAGTTTCCATTTCTACTTTTCATTTCCTTTCTTCCCAATAACATTAGGTTCGCTGTTTTTCTTTTGCTAGTTTCTACTGCTATCGCTTGACATTAACAGACTTAAGACGCTATTCAAAAAGTACTTTAGCTGACCCCAAAATTTCACTAACATTACTTTTACTAATATTCACACTTCATTCTATATTTATAAGATCATTTTATACTTCTAAGTACAATGCAATTTGAATTTATTTTACTGTATATTTCAAAACTAACTGCACTGTACATGGAAAACAGGATCAGAAATGTCTGGGTGAAATCTTTCAAGATTTCCCTTCAATATTTCCTTATTATTCTATGGTTACACTATAATCTTTATAGTTATGTAATTATTTTTCTCTTCATGCTTGCTCTTGATAAAAACTTTGACTCTAAGATCTGTCTAGAAATTTTTCAAAAATTATCTCTTCAAAAACTGTATCTTCTTTATTTCCTCTGCTCTCATCTCCTGGCACATTCTGGAATGACCAATCACTACTAACGTCTCTAAATAGTTCTTTCATATTTTCTGTCCTCTTTTGCCTCTCTGCTCTGCTTTTCAGGTGAATACCTAATGAACGCCCATTCTTGAATCTCCCTTTGATGGCATCTAATACAGCATTTTTCCTCAGTAAAACTAATTTACTGGATTTTTGTACTTCAACAATTTATTTTCAGCTTTCAACACTGGTGCTTAATACGTATTGATTCTTATTTACTCTATATTTTATGTTAGAAATTTTTGTCATTTTTCTAGTACTTTAAACATATTTAATTATTCATTCTTCCCCTCTAATGTTTTTGCCATTACCTTTGCTCACATGGAACACTCTGTCAAAGACCAAGATCACATAATGTGGGCTTGTAACTTCCTTTCCTAGGATATCACTAGGCATTTTCAGACACTGAGACCAATTAAGTTATCAAACATTTCAATTTGGGTGATCATGATAAGCACATTTTTGTCTACTCTCTACACCCATTCCTTGATTTCCTGTGAGTGGGGTTTTGATATAAATTATCTTATAGAGAAACTAAAATTACTTTGTGCATTTAAAGAATCTCTATTAGTAAATGCATGGGCAGTAGAATAAACTGGGCATCAAGGGCAACAAACATAAACCTTTGTAGTAGTTATCACTAGTTTCTTTAGCCTTCTTTACAAATGGGAAGACTAAAGTTAGGCACTGGCTAATGAAATAAACCTAAGAATATTCCTATATTCTTTACAAAGCACTGTAAGTCCTTTGAACAGACAAGCGGCAAATTCCTGGCTACCAGTATCTGCTTCTCTGTGGTAAGCCAAATACTGGTCATCATTTTGTAGTTTTTTTTTATACAAACCAAAAAAAATGTTTGCTTCAAACCTCACCAATGTCACTTCATAATCTTTTTAATAGTTCATAATTATTTTATGAAGGAAGTGAGAATGTAACAAGCGTCAAACTACTGTGCTACCATCAATGACAAACCCTTTTTAATTTTTTAAACATGCATTCCCTTTGCTTAGGTAACTACCCTCAGAAATTTATATTATGAAAAACTGCTACACTTAACTTCAAATGTGTAAATGAAAACATTAAAAAAGAACTGTTTCTAATAAAACTAGAAGCTAGCCAAGTAAACACTTATTAAATAAGTCATGTCCTGCTATGTCAGAAGCACATAGGCATTAAAAATATCTCAGATTGCTGAGTGAAAAACAAAATTATAAAAATTTATAGATTAATCTTTATGTACATAGTATGAAAAATATAACATCACTAATAAGTCATAACAAACTATAAAAAAGAAAAAAGAGCTGGGGCAGATTTCAAGAGTTAAGTAAAGTTGAAAAGGTAGGTCAAAATCAAATTATGGAAAGCTCCAGAGTCCTAACTACTAATCCTTATCTTTTAGAAAATATTGATACAAAAAGTCTAACTATAAGAATAATAGTGTGAGGGGCTGGGGATTTAGCTCAGCGGCACAGCGCCTGGCTGGCAAGCGCGAGGTCGTGAGTTCAATTCCCAGTACTGGAAAACAAAACAATAATAATAATAATGATAATGATAATAATAATAGTGTGATATGGTTTACTTAGGGAAGAGTATTTGGATGAAGAACGAACACCGTGAATAAAAGGAGAAAAACTTATATTGTCAATATTTTGTTTCAGATATAGGTGATTAAATGATCTTGTTTAAATTATGTAAGAGCTGGTCTTCAATTTTAATATAATATGCATTAAAATGATTATCTACCAAAATCTGGTAAAATAAACTTTTACATAAAAAAAACAGAATACTGAAGAGAAGCCAATAATGTTTTACACTAAGTCACTTCCCTCACTTTTCTGCTTTTGTGGGTTTCTACCTCAAAATAAAGTAGATGTCAAGAATCAGTATTTCTATAAACAGTTTTTCTATCAAAGTATAATGAGAAAATTGTTAAGTGTAATGGCTAAAGGTAACAATCTGTTTTTAAATTATACTAATAATTCACAAATTGTCATTTGTTGCTTGGACTAAGTATATGCTTTACCACTTAGAATACAGACACTATTTCACGTCATTCTAACATACAAATTCCAAGATCATATCAACCAGACAACATAAGATAAAAGCAATAAATACTAAATTCCAGTAAGAACTTCAAAAACAAACACAGATTTTAAATAATACATATACCAATGACAAATTATCTGTCTTGGTTTTAAAACAAATTCTGTTACATTACTTAAATTTAAGAACAAAATTTTAAAATCAGCAAATAAATATTAAATGGAATAATTCAATATATTATTAATCATTGATGATCAAAAATGCAAATTAAAATCATAATGAATTAAAAATTGCTAGACTGGTATGAAGAAATGTGGGCACACTGCCACACTGCCAGTAAAAAGTAAACTAATTCAATCTCTTGGAAAGAAATATGCTACTTATGTATACAATTTAAAAATACTCTATAACCAAATAATTCCACCCTAGTATTTTAAAATGAAAAAATATGTACAGATGCAAACATAAATGGTAACAGACTTCATAGTAGTAAAAAAAAGACATACAAAAGGAACAGTAATTAGGATACATACTTATAATAAATTGCTAACAAGCCAATAAAATCATTCACATACAGAATAGCTAATGATACTTACTGAGTAAATGAACAGATTAAAGAGAGTAACAAAGTTATAAAAGACTGCTCATTTGTTAGGCAAATATTTTGCAATATACATTTTTATATTAAACCACATTGTAAAAACCTGTTACCAAGGCAATAAAAATTCTCTTGGGCATCTCCTATTATATACTGATCAGCTTACTTAGCACAGTTTCACTAATGTGTACCTTACTATTAAACAAAATGCTTTTCTTCATGCACTTTAGAAACCATACCAAAACAAAAACCTGTAAGAATAAGCATCTTTGGTTACATAAAAATAATTAAGAGTATAGGAATTGGGGAAAGGGTAGTTCAGTAACAGGGAATATGCTTATTAGCATAGGCAAGATCATTAGTTCAATTTCTAGTAACAGCAAAAAAAATTTTTTAATTATACAAAGCATCAAAACAAGTCACTGACAGCTCCCACATACATTACTGACCACCTTGTATTATACACAAGATAAAAATTATTAAAATTTACCTGCATTGCACTTTTCCCTAGTTTCACCACCTCAAATAACGTGACAGGCTCCCCTTCACCATTCTGTTGAGGGTGCCCATTAGCTCTTCCACGTCCTGTTCCTCTAATGCCAGCTTCAATTCTGTTCTTCTCTCCTGGAGATTTTCGAGGTTTCTTATTTGTAGACTGAATAATAAAAAGATAAAGAAAAATTACATTAAATGCAGCTTATTTTTTGCTTTATACAAAATGATCCTGAATTATAGTTGATCCTCTTCAGCATTATTACAGATAAAAGATAAATATCAAACCAAAAAAAGAGACAACTTTGCACTCTGTTTTCAGTGATAAAAATATACTTTAGGGTTGGAGATACACCTCATCAGTGCAGTGCCTTCTTGGCAACTGCGAGGTCCTGAGTTCAATTCCCAGTATCCACAAAAACAAATAACATAAAAAATGGCCCAAGTCCATGTGGAGGGGGAAAAAAAAATTTATATATATATATACTTTAAATAAACAAACATAAGTTCATACATGTAAGGTATGAAAATAAAGATAGAAAACTATAGTATTATGCTTAAAAAAAAAAAAAAAAAAACAAGGTCTGCATTTTAACCATGCCCACTACTGACATTTCCTACTTTATACCTTCCTCAATGCTCTCCTGCTTCTAGAGAACCCTTATTCAAAACATTCCTTGGAAATGCTATATATTCACCTTTTCCTCCTACTAAAGGTGCATGTATTTCTTGATCAGACAATAAATACACTGTAAACGTATTTGGAATCATTCTAGATGATACAGCAATAAATAAAGCAATAAACAAAGCAGATGAATACAGCAATAAACAAAGCAGATGAACATTCCTGCCTGATGAAGTTTACATCTTTAACACACCATCCTCTGCCCCAGTTTTTTATCCAAGCAAGCACTTATCAATGTTTTACCTTTAGAGACAAAGGTAATTATGAAAAATGATCTATATATAGTTATTGTATTCAACCATGCAAATTTCATTCATTCACATTTAATGTTTCACCAAACTAACCAATGACATCAAAGTTGCAAAATGCAGTAGACAGTTCTCAAAACTTTCAAGAGACCACATGATTTCCTTCCTTTCAGATACCTTTCTCCTTGCTATACTATATATATCACCAGTTAATGTTACCTTGAGGTTACCTTAAGCATCTTCTCTTCTCAATAAACATACTTTGAGTAATTTAATTCATTCTCATTATAACACTGTTCGAATTACCAATTTATTGTTGTCTCCAAATTCACCCTTGTCTTGTTTTGTGGTACTGGAACTAGACCTTATAAACACTACTCATGCTGGGTGTGGTGGCACACACGTGTCATTCCAGCACTCGGGAGGTTGAGGCAGGAGGACTACTCTGAATGGAGACCAACCTGGGCTACACTGTAAGTTCAAGGCCATTTTGAACTGCATAGCAAGACCCTGTCTCAAAAACCAAAAACCAAAACTGCCATCTGCTTCAGTAGTAGGCTTTATAAATAGAAAGCACGGGAGGAACACTATAAAGCATAGCACTGAATTCATAAAAAATCCACAATTTTGTGTGTGGATCAATATAGAATGAATTAACTGCTTAAATTTTAAATAGTCTACTCTTAGGACAGTTTTAGATTTACAAAAAAAAAAAAACAAAAAAAACTATGAAGATACCACAGAGAATCTCCATATACTTCACACCTACTTACCCTATTAACATATTGTATAGCATACTTGTTAATTAGCCTGTTTGCTAATTATTTGGTACATTAAAGAATCCACACTTGACTAAAGTATTTCTTCTTTTCTGATGACCTTTTCCAGGCCCAGGAACTCATCTAGGCTCTCATACTACATTTAGTCATTATATCTTCCCAACCTCCTCTTGTGTGTGACAGGTTCTCAGAGTCTCTTGATTTTTGATGACCTTAGCAGTTCTGAGGAGTAATTATGAGGTATTTCCCCAAAGGTTTCCCATTACAAATTTTCTGCTGTTTTTGTCATTAGACTATGATTACAGATTTAGGGGAAGAAGACAGGAGGAGTACAGTGTCATTTTAATCACCTAAGTATATAAAGGTGTATACTATTAACATGATACATCACTCGACACTGACCTTCACAAAGTTCAAGGACTATGTTCGGTTTCTCTGCCACTGTGAAGTTACTTCTAGTCCCTTTTCTAAAATGTGCCTTTATGAAGGAAGTGACCACACACAGTCTACATGTACAATTACATATATTACTAGAACACTTCCAAATGAGACATTTGTCTATTCTTCCCCACTTATTCAGCCACTTAAATACGGTCTCCCCCACATTTGTTTTATACTTTAGGATTCGGTGCTATTTCACTGTTCAAACTGCTCCATTTTAGGCTACTGAGAGGTTTTTCACATGACTCCTATGTTCATTTGACATACTCCTATCATTGAGTGTAGGTTGTCTATTTTGTTTTGTGTTTAAAATTTGGCTACTTACTACTACTATAAGATGCTCCAGGCTCACCTTCAATATTCCCTTCCCCTAGTCCTAGAATCAACCAATATTACAAAGATTCTTAGTTCCTTTTATTACACAATGACATTAGAGATGAACATATGAACACTAACCTTTGCTCCTTGCTACTGAGGTGTCTTTTGATTCTAGGCACTGAAGTAGACAGAACAAGAAAAATATACCCAGTATAGTACACATGGGCAAAATATGGTCTTAGTATAATCAAGTTTTATAGGTTTTACCAATTTACTGTACTGTATATGCACAATTCTAGTATCAGAGTAAAGTGTTTCATTTCAAAGTGTTTCACCCATGCAACCTTTCCCCTTACTGATTTCTTTTTAATAATCACCATAGTTTTGTCTCTCAGATATTCATGACAAAGGAATCCTACAATATGTGCCCTTTACAAATGGGCATCTTTTACTTGAACAATATGCTTTTAAGATTCATTTACATCATCTAGTTGCTGAATGGAATATTTTCTTCTTATTGTTGAACAATATTTCATTGTATGAATGTACCACACTTTGTTATCCATTTACCTAAGACATCTTGACCAGTAACGTTTAACAATTTTAAGTAAAACTGCTATAAAACTCACTAACAGGTTTTTGTGTGAACATGATTTTATCAGCTGTGTATACATGCAGCAGTACAACTGCTAAAATATTCCAATTGCTTTAATATTCCAAATGTTAAACGGTAGTTTCATACATAATTGTCAAACTGTCTTCAAATGTGGCTATAACATGCATATTCTGAAAACAGTGAATGAGATCTCCTACTGCTTCACATCCTTGTCAGGAAATGGCTCATGCCTGGTTTGGGAATTTTAGCCATTCTAATAGTTATACAATAGTATCTCATTGTTTTAACTTGTAATTCCTAAATGACAAATGAATTTCAAAGAGTAATGCTTTATATTAAACTTTCTGTTTACATTACTGATGACAATTTTGTCAAGTATATCTTAATTTTCCTATCCCTTACTTGCATCGTCCAACATAATAGCTCTAACTTCCAATAGCATAAGTATCTCATGAATAAATCTACATTGATTATATGATGAAATTATATTTTGTATGTGTAATCAAAATACAAATTTCATAAATATGAAAATTAAATCCATTACTTGTTAATTAGGAAGTTTTTAATTGCGTATGTGGCTGAGAGTATTTCTTTTGAAACAGTGCCACCCTATTCTAATACTAAAATCACAGTAATGTTTACAATATAAAACTAATTCCATCATATCCTTATTTCGTATCTGACCTACAATGTTTCTCATTAAGTTAAAGTCCAAAGTCCTGTATAGCAAGTAAGGCTATCAATATTACCTATTCAATTATATATACCAGGTCCATCCTCACAGGTTATAATTCTGCATATTCATCTATTTAATATTGTTCAAAAACATAATTCTTTAATGTATGTAATTTGGAGATTATTGTCCCTTATAACAAGTATTTAATCATTACTCACTTTATAAAGTAATAATTATCTTCCCAGCAGAATGGGCGTGAAGAATATATGCTCAAAAATGTTATTTTTCTTTACTGACTGGAAATGTAATCATCTCCACATTTGAAAAAGTGATAAAACCTATAAAATAGAAATTTGTTTCCCAGCCTTGTCTTCATGCCAGAAACTTCTTTTACTAAGAGCAAACATCAGTAATCTCTTATATGCCCTTCCAGAAACATTTAAACATATAGAAACATGTATACCCATGCATCTATTGCTTTCTGTTATTTTTGAGTAGTTCTGCAACATTCTATTTTCACTATCAATCTATTAATATAATACTTTATTAGTGCACTGTAAAGTACCCAATGTTTACATTCCCTGTGAGAAGTTGGTACATCTACATAACACATCTGAATTCCTTTTCTTAGCCCTTTTCCATCCCTCTCTCCCACCCTCCTCACCTCTTTTTCTGAGAGGGGTACATGTTTGCAGTACATCATGTTTACATTTCTTGTGTGGAGTTGGTACTTTATCTTATTTTTATATTTTTTTATTAGTACTTGTTTACAGTAGTACACTTATCATGGAGAGTTTGTACACACACATAAGACATTTTAATTCTTTTTTTTTTCTGTCCTCTTCACCTCCCATGCCTCCTTGTTCCCTCCAGTTCCTACTTTTTTCTCATTTGCAAAAGCTGTTTCCATTTTTTCAATTCTTTTAAAAAAATCCCTTTTCCCTTCCTTCTTTCCCCCTCCATCTCATTTTCCTTCCCATTTGAGATCTCCCCACTTCCTATTAGCTATCTTTTAGTTTGCTATTAATAAAAGGCAAATGTAAGAGAAACCATGCGATATTTAAATTGTTTCTCTGATTTACTTCACTTAACTTTATGGTCTCAAGGTGCACCCATTTTTTAAAAATACCTCACCTTTAACCTTCTTTATGACAGACTAGTACTCTGCAGTAAATAAAAAGTTTCCTCATCTGATAAGCATAATGACTGTTTCCAAGATTTAGCTATTTTAAATTGTGCAGCTATAAACATGAATATGCATGCATCACTGTAATATGATGACCTTAAACATTTTGGTAAGACACCTAAAAGGCTAAGTTTTAGTTTATGAAGAATCTCTATAGTGGCTGTATCCATTTACACTCCCACCGACAATGAAGAAGAGTTCTTTTTTCCCTGTA